AAAAAGAAAGAAAGAAAGAAAGAAAGAAAGAAAGAAAGAAAGAAAGAAAGAAAGAAAGAAAGAAAGAAAGAAAGAAAGAAAGAAAGAGAAAGAAAGAAAGAAAATAGGGATAGCAACATGCCTGACAAGTGAGGACCTTAGCTTCACTTTAATTTTAGGCAACTAGTCCAAAAACTAGAATAAGTGGCTGGGAATGTAACTCAATGGACACAATGCTTGCCTGGCATAAATAAGACCCTGGGTTGGGTTCAATCCCCAGCACAGCATAGAACCAGAGGTACAGGTATAGAGGCCAGCCTGTATGAGACCCTGCATGAACATTAGTGCCAACTACGTGTCTATGTCTTGGAGGTACAAAAATTAGTGAGAAAAATCTGTGCTGAAAGAGAAGTGAGTCAAGAAGTTGTGATTGGAGTAGCTGTGGGAAACTCAGGGTGAGCAAGGATCCCTGTTGTGCTGATGGGTAGAGAGGCTTTCTTGATGGCTACAAAGACCCAAAGAAAGTATATATTGATTGGTCTTACAAATACTGCTTTTGATTTTAGTTCCATTTATTTTGTTTGGGATCAGGTTACACAGGCATGCCACAGCACAAATGTCATGGCAGAAGTGATCGAAATCAGGTCCTCAGAATCCCCGGCAGGCAGCTCTTCCTGCAGAGATATATGCCAGCCCTGCGTTAGACTCTAAAACTCAAAATCTATTCATGAGTACAAAACATATGTGAACCCTTAGAGTGTGGGCAAACTTGACTGTATAAGGCTCTTCACTCATCACTCCAGGAGTCAGGAAAACCGTCTCAGGGGCTCCTGAAATAAAATGGATTCCTTACTGTATTTGTTCAGATGTTTTGGTTTTGAGACAAGGTCCCAGGCTGGCTTCAAACTCAGTTACAATCCATTCGCCTGCCTCTGCCTCCCTGCCTGGTACTGGGATTAAAGGTGTGTGCCACCACATCCAGCTTTTATCTTTGTTTAAGGGAAAAGTCTTGGATCTTCCCCCTAGCAACTTTTGACCACCTTCGAACATTTCTCTTACAGCAATAGGAAGATGTTGAGAAATTTTGAAAGCGAGAAACGCAAAAAGCAATCTCCAAATTTGCCAACTTAGACCGATGTCAAGGTTTCTGCTCTGAGGTGAATGGAAGAGCCCTACAATGGCTAAGAAACTGGACATCCATTCCTCGGTTGGACTTACTCAATGCTATCTTGTTCATAGGGTCCAGAGAACAATTTGAGTAGAAAGATGTCTTATAACAAAATAAAATCCCCAGTCTTCAAGCAACTCAGTCTCATCATTTACAGAAAGTGCCTAACTGAACTTCAGAGAACAGCAAAGAAGTTCCTCATAGTGAAGGTCCAGAAACCAACGAGTGGTTAAAATGAAAAATAGGTGTTTTTTTGTTTTGTTTTGTTTTTTGTTTGTTTGTTTTTTATACAAGAAACAGCATAATTTAAACCTGCTAGTCTGTTCTGAACTACACCACTGGCAATCTGTACTGACTTAAAATGTCTGGGTTCTAATCTGTATTAAAGGTGTGCACACATTTTTCCTTAGTATTCCCTGAACAATCCAGTTCTTTGTCTACTTATACAGCATTACATTGTGCTAAGCACCACACATAATAAAAGCGAGGATACAGAACCAGGCATGATACATGCCTAAAATCCTAGCACATGGGAGGGAGAGGCAGGTGGATCTTTGAGTTCCAGGTCACCCAGAGTTACATGAAATCCTGTCTTAAAAGAAGGGGAGAAGCCGGGCAGTGGTGGCGCACGCCTTTAATCCCAGCACTCGGGAGGCAGAGCCAGGCGGATCTCTGTGAGTTCGAGGCCAGCCTGGACTACCAAGTGAGTCCCAGGAAAGGCGCAAAGCTACACAGAAACCCTGTCTCGAAAAACCAAAAAAAAAAAAAAAAAAAGAAGGGGAGAAAAGGGGAGGGGTGAATACTGAAGAATGTGGTTGGTGTATACAAATGCTTTCCCGTTTTGTTTAGAAGACTTGAGCATCTTGATCTTAAGTATCAGTGAAAGTGTATGGTGCTATTCTGGAGCCGATCCCCCAGCAGTTACTCGGGCACCTTAAACAAAAGACAGCATGCAAAGTCATGGGGTTTATGATACAATTTTCACTCCTTTTGAATATCTCTGTTATTAGGTGTATGCTTGAGTACGTGTATGTCCAGGCACCATGGAGGCCAGAAAGTGTTGGAGCCCCTGAAGTTTTGTTTTAGGTGGTTGAGAAGTGCTTAATGTGGGGTAGGCAGCCAAACTTGGGTCCTCTGGAAGAGCAGCAGCTAGTGTTCTTTTTGTTTTGTTTTTTTGTTTCTGTTTTTGTTTTTTTGAGACAGGGTTTCTCTGTGTAGCTTTGGAGCCTGTCCTGGAACTCACTCTGTAGCCCAGGCTAGCCTCGAACTCACAGATATCCCCCTGCCTCTGCCTCCCGAGTGCTGGGATTAAAGGTGTGCGCCACCACTGCCCAGCGCAAGTGTTCTTACAGTTAACTGCTAAGCCATCTTTCTACCCTCCCCCTCCTCCTGAGATAGGCAAACACAGGGAATAGTTTAGCAACATGAGACAACAACTTCTGGGAGTCAGTTTGCTCCTTACACCACATGAGAAGCTACCATGAGAACTGGAGATCAAATGTAGAGTGTCACAAGTGTCTCTGGTTTATGGACATAAAGAACTTCAGGTATGTATTCCGAAGTGGGCTACCTGAGTCATATGGTAGTTGTGGTTTTAGACTGAGGAACCTCTGCTGAGTGTCACAGATCAGCCCTCCCACCAGCAGAATATGAAGGTTCCTCTCTCCCCTCCATCCTCTCTAGGATTTGTTGTCCTTTTCTTCGGGCTGGTAGCCATTCCAACTGGGATGAGTTGGAATCTCAGTTTCGTCTAATTTGCATTTCCCCGATGGTTAAAGATGGTGAACTCTGTTTCCAGAGTTTATTATTTGAGACGTGATTGTCAGACCTTTCACTGTAATTTAGCTATGCATTAGAAATATCACTTGTCTTTTCAATGGTGTATTTCATCAAGACAGTGATTATACTGGTGTATTTCGTGGTGTCCAACCAGGTTGTTAATATCTGTAATTCATGTACCATAGAGAATTCTACAAAAGAAGTCTACGGGTGCAATTATCCCTTTACTGGTAATTTTGATAATGTATCTAAGAAATTAGAGTTTTGTTGCCCTAAACCACATGGTCGTTGGTTCCCTCAGCTATTTCCTGCCTCAACTACTATTTTCTCCAAGTGATTATTCAAAGGGTAATTCTATTTCCAGCTGAGCATGATGGCTAATTCCTGTAATTTTAGCACTTGGGAGGTGAGGCAGGAGGATTACTGTGAGTTTGAAGTTAGATTGGGATACAGTGAGATCATCTCACCCCCACCTCCAAATAATAAGCCCCCTCACCCCAAAATAATTCTATTTCAGGCATGCTCTATATTGGGTAAATAGCTTCTTTTGCTGGGTGTTTATTAAATATATTTTAATGTGGGCTTAAGCATGAAGGTTAAGAAAGAGAGCGATTAGGAAGAATATACGGCATCCCTGAGAGCATGGGAGTCGATGTCTCTGACAGGGTCTCAGAAATGGCATCTGATCCTCCTGCTTCCGCTTCCTGAGTGCTGAGTACTAGGATTACAGGTGTGAGTCATCACACCTAGTTTCTATGGTGACAGAGATCCCACCCATGGCTTTGTGTATGGTAGCCAAGCACTCTTAACAGCTAAACTACATCGTTAGTACTCCCAACACCATCTTGCTCCTTGGAATGTCAATAATCTGGCTTTTCCTGACCTTTTAAATAGGACACCATTTAAATATTGTCTTTGATACACATGGATTCCTATGCTTACTTAACTTCCTAGCTTCAAAAGGTGCCTCAACTTTGCCATGGAACATGCCTGTAATCCCTGCACTCAGCAGGTGGAGGTAAGAGGGCAAGAGTCAAGGTAGACCACACAGAAAAATTCCAGGCCTGGCTAGACTACGGGAGACCCTGTCTCAAGAAAAGTACCTTCAGCTAGTCTAATGGTGTACACTTGCAATCCCAACATTTGGGGAACAGAGGCAGGAGAATAACCGTGAGTTAAAGGCCAGACTGAGCTATTTATTGAGACTTCCTCTCAAAAATGCAAGCAAACAAAACTCAAGTTGACCCAAGCAAAGCCTGGATTCAGTTTTTTATTCATTCATTTATTTTTTCTATTATCAGCTTGTTACAGTACAAATTCTTATCCTAATAGTGAAATGTTTCACTGAGGCTTGCCCAATGACTGAGTAAAACCAAAACTTACTATAAGCCACAGTCATCCTAGGGTCCCCCCTGCTATGTAGCCTCCCTGGCTCTGCAGGTTGCAGTCTGATTGTCCTTTGCTTTATATCTAGTACTGGATTCAGTTCTTACAATCCCACTCTCACTCTTCTAGGGCTGTGGAGTTCGTAAACATGCTTCCAACAATGCTGGGTACAAATTCGTGGCATCAATTACTTTTTAATCATTACTTTTTAATCTTTTTTTCCCGTTTATTGAAAATAGACTTTCTTTGTCACATACTATATCCTGATTATGGTTGCCCCTTCCTCTGCCCTTCCAAGTCCCCTTCCTCCTCACCTAATTCTTGACATAGGATCTCATTCTGAAGACCTGGCTGGCCTGGAAATCACGGTGTAGACAGACTGGCCTCTGACTTCTCAGACCGCTTCTGCTAGTGGTCCTGATATCTTCTAAGAAATACTATGTCATAGTTTGGAGGAAATATGACCAGGACTATGATAAAATACTTCCTATTTATATCAAGTAGGTGCTCCAGTCTCAGAAAGATAACAACCAAACAAAAACATCTGTACTTTTTCATGTAGGCTAAAAGCATGCTCTGGAAATCCTGGGCTGTGGTGAGGCACCATGTGGACGCTGTGAAACAAACCCAGGGTTGATGCAAAGGCCAAGTGCTTAACTTGAATGTGAAAAGGCAGCCCTGTGGGAAGGAGGACCTGAGGAGGGGGTGGATGGGGACTAAGCTGCAGAGAGAAAAGACAAAACCAAGTTGGTTTGAAAAACATCACAACAGAACTTAATTTCTTGTAAGCTAAAAAAACAAAAAACAAAACAAAAACTGTAGCCACAGTCTTCTGCTCTAAGTGTGCCAGAACTAAACCTCTGCTGTTGGTGTATTGAATGAAGTGGGAATTTATACACAGTTTTGTGACTTGGTAAGCCACTTGGTATCCATATATGAATATCATTCCCTATTTTTAACTCAGTTTGTTTCTTGGTTTTGTGTTTTTGAGACAAGGGTTTCTCTGTGTAACCCTGGCTGTCCTGGAACTTGCTCTATCGACCAGGTTGGCCTCAAACTCCGAGATCTGCCTGCCTCTGTCTCCCAAGTGCTGGGATTAAAGGCACAGGCCACCACCACCCAGCTTTACTTTATTTTTATTAATTAATTAGTTAATTAATTATTTTCAGAGCCAGAGTCTAACTCTGGAAGTTTTGCTTTTTATTGTTTTAATTATGTATCTGTATGTGTATATATGCACATGAATGCAAGTGCCCACAGAGGTCTGAGGTGTCAGATCCCCTGGAGCTGTGGTTACAGGCAGCTGTGAGTCAGTCACCTGCTGTGGATGCTGGGAACAGAACTCAGGTCTTCAGGGAGAGAAATATGTGCTCTTAAGCACTGAGTCATCTGTAGATGTAACCAACCGTCTTATTAAATAAGAAACACAGAAACAATGTAAAAGAGAAAGCCAAGAGGTCAGAGCTCAGAGCTAAAATCTCACCCTTCCTCCTGCTGTCCCAGCTTCGCGAAAAGAGACCTACTTCCTGTCGGTTCGTATTTTTAAAGTATGTTGTTCTGCCTTCTCATTGGTTGTAAACCCAAACACATGACTGCCTCGTCACTGTCTGAATGTACAGCCCCCTAGGTCTTAAAGGCATATGTCTCCAATGCTGGCTGTATCCCTGAACACACAGAGATCTTATGGGATTAAAGGCGTGTGCCACCACCGCCACACTCTTGCTATGGCTCTAATAGCTCTGACCCCCAGGCAACTTTATTTATTAACATACAATCAAATTAATATTTCAGTACAAAT